TGAACTAAGTTCTCATGAACCTTTGTGGGAAAAGTACTGCGGTGTGAATGCGCCTATTGTATGAACATGTTTGAATTGGGGGGTGGACGTCACATCCTTTAGGGGGGTCCGGGGGTATATTCCCCTGGAAAGATTTTTTTTTGAACATTTTACAGTAAAATGCTTCAATCTGGTGCACTTTGAGCACACAATTACTAGNTTTGATTTTGCTTTTATTTTAAAATCATTTTGTGATATTCTCTCTGAAGAGACTTGCAATTATTTGCCCTAGACTTCTGCTTTCAGACCGAGTTAATTATAAAGTTATTACCCTATCCGATAATAATCCAATGCAGAGGAAATAATGTAATACAATACATTATTTATATATATTAAATATTTATTTATGTATTTTTATATCTCTTAAAGTTACAACCGGCCCTTTTAGTGCAACCATAATGTGAATGTGGCCCGTGATGAAATTGAGTTTGACACCCCTGATTTACATGAAGGTTACTGGCATCTTATGCATGGAGAATAAATGACGGGGGTTTTCTATACAGCAGCGTTCTACACAACTTAAACGAAAACCTTTGTGAGTAACAAAAATAGAAGAGAAAAAATACATAATAACACTGCTAATATTAATCTTTGTATACTTTGCATCCACAGCAGAATATATCAGATCACTCTCATCATTCAAATAGTATTGACAATTCAAAGGCGTTATTCCTGAGTAACTATTATAAGCTTTAAAACTGCATATGAAAAACTGTGTTAGTACTGTTTTTAAGTTAAAGGACTCATTCATCTTAGGTAGTATATGATGTGTCAGCTCAAAATCTCCAGTGTCGATGGTTTACCTTCAAATCAGAGCGAGTTTGAAAGAGGAAGAACTTTAAGGTGTCGGACAAATTTACATGAGGTGCACATTTGCTTTTAATACGAAAGCAAAAACGCATGACAACACCATGATGGTTTCTACCTTTCAATCCTTTCACACTAAAGTCACAGAGCGTGTGTCGGAGCAGCTGATGTCTCCTGTTACCACGGTGATGACAGGTCTGAGGTCTTTAAGGCTGATCTCCAGCTGAGTGTAGTCCTCCACCTCCGAATCAAACAGAGATGCTAATTGCTAAGTGCTAACGCAGATTGTAAATGGCTGCTTGTGGCGTACACACTTCTGTCCTTGTGTCCTTGCACACCAATGCCACGTCAGAATCCCCCCTGGCACAATAATACTTTAGATGAGTCAGTGATAAGAATAAAGCCTGAGATTTCAGCTTATGGTTTCAGAAACATGAGCTATGGTTCATAAGTCTTTTGTGTTTCAGCCTTCATATGTTTTACATTTGTATTTATTTGGTAACACTTTCTATGACACCTATGTCTATAAGGCATTGGAAACATATTCATTATGCGTTATGATCTGCTTATAGCACTGTGTAATCGTATGTCTTCCTTGTTATTCATGAAATGCTTTATCGTGTTAGAATTTGTACTAATACATCTTTATTTGTATTTTGTATTTTGATCTGTTTCTCGCTCATTTTTACTTAAAGGTGGGGTAGGTCATTTTGGAGGAACCAGCTCCAGTGCGCTAGAATTTGAAAATACACAGTCGGAAATAATCTGCCACTTCCTTACAGAGCCCCTCATCCAACACATACGAACGCGCACATGACCAATGAGGGAACGAGATAAGTTTGTGAACAGATGGAAGGCTGACAGGCAGGTAGGCCATCCAGTTAGCCGGGCCGGCTCAAATGATTGGTCGTGCTTTTTACAGTACTACGGCTTCCACAGATACATTTTTTTTATGGATTTTTTGTCAAAGCACTTAAGATATTCATTGCTATCGGGATGTTAAGAGCACTCCATGGAATATAACAAAAAGTGTATCTCGAGCCGGTTTCTCAAAATGACCTACCCCACCTTTAAACTTCTTATATTTTTATAAATATTTTTTACTACATTTTATTCTCAAGTTTTTACTTTAAAGTCTCTTGTTTGTATAAATCATTTTATTTATTTTCTATTCAAAAATGGAGCAACTGTTGCAAATCCCTGTTTGCCCCATGTAAATAAGGTATTATGATTCTGATGCTATGAGCCGATTACAAGACATTTTAACTCGATGCCTAATAGACATGTGTCATGGTGTAACCAATTTTTTTATTTTTTTTTCGGAGTCTGAATAAGCCTTGCCCGTGGGTTCATGCCTGGTGGCGGCCTCCAGCAGAGTAATATCTTCTCTCAGAGTCACAGCTATGAAGAAGGCGTGGGGCTTCAGAGTCAGCCCGTAGTCGTAGTCCAGTTTGACGGGCCGGGCGGGGTCCACGGTGATGTGGCATTGGTGGGAGATCAGCACCGTGAAGAGGAAGAGCTGCAGCTTGGACAGCTCCTCTCCGATGCACCGCCTCTTCCCCAGCGAAAAGATGAGCACGCTGCTGGTCAGGTCCTTATTCAGGACCCCATCCTTCAGGAAGCGCTGGGGTTCAAAGGTCTCCGGGTTGGACCACAGCTCTGGGTCGTGGTTGATGGACCACTGGTTGATGAAGACCACGGTGTTCTTTGGTATGGTGTAGCCCATGATGGAGGTGTCCGTGGTGGTGGAGTGGGGGATGGTGAGCGGCACGAAGCTGGTGAAGCGCATCACCTCGTAGATGAAGGCCATGACGTAGGGCAGCTGGGGCTGGTCCTCGATGGAGGGCAGCCGGCTGCGGTCCACCACCCGATCCACTTCCTGCCGCAGACGCATCTGCATCTCAGGGTACCTGCAGTCACAGGGGAGAGCTGTGTTTAATGTGACATCCACAGTTATAGAGGGTTCACTCATAAAGGGCTGCAGGACTGAGTCCGAAAACCAGGGAATGGGTTAGCAAATTAGCACTTTTTGATCGCTCGTCTTGGTATCTTTGTTTTTTTTTTTAATGGATTTTGGTTGTACGCTTAACTTAAATGATGTTTTTTTCTTTTTGGAAAAGGGTAGACAGAAAGGACTAGAGAATGAAGTAGACATTTTGCATTTTTGGTCCCCTCATCCCAAAATCTTTTGTTTTGGTTGGATGCTTAACTTAAACCATTTTTAGAACTATGTTTGGTAAGGGACCAAGGAAATTACATATGCCAAAGTTGTCCCTGGGTCTGAAACAAACTCAGTTCAGCTGCAGCAGAACTGAAGCAACAGTGCCATACACCAGGTGAGCAATGTGCGGGCCAGAGGCAAATTAACGTTTAGTTGGATATAAAATATAGGATATACCCCACTTGTGAATTTCGAAGCTTTTAAGTGTCTATCACAATGCCAACTAGTGGCTCAGTGACACATACACACGCAAACAAACAGACTTAAGTGTTGTGGTCGAGACATTTGGGTCATGTGACCATGTTTTTTTTTGTTGCGTTTATTGCCTGCATTTATTGGCCGATTGCACATATGCTAAAACAATCATAAAGGTAATGTTTATTTATGAAAGTTATACATCTGAACAATATGTGCAAGTGTCATAAAGGTATGTTTGCCAAAGATCTACTTTCTACAAAAAAAAATGTTGTGATGAAGGTGATGCTACATTTCGGTGTTGCCGACAAAAACACATCATTGCTAGCATTCTTTAATTAATTGACATTTAATTGACATTTAGTAACCAAGGAGAATGTCACCTAAAAACACCTAAAAGTTCACAACCTTAAAATTATCTATAGCCTATGATGATAAAGAGTGCTTACTTGACCAGAATGAGGATGATCCACTGCAGTGCCGTTGACAAAGTGTCTTGACTCGCTCCAAAAATATCCCCCAGAGTGGAGGGCACGTAGTCCTTCCCGCAGGATAAGACCCTTGATTTTTCTCTTATCTGCTCCATCGCCACAATAAAGGCATCCGTCATGTCCCTGATGGTGCTCGGCTGGATGGTTTTCCGGTGCTCGATTACTTTGTCTCCGATGAACCTGTTAAACTCCAGGTTGAGCTCCTTGAAGTTATCAAACATGGTTTTGATGGGGTTGGGGAAGTACTGCAGCCAGGGCATCACGTCCACGATGCTGCCAGCCCCCACGGTCTGGGTGAACTGGTCGTTCCTGCCCACCACCTGCTGGAACTCCTCGTCATCGTGAGAGTACCTCTTCCCGAAGCACACCGCGCTCATGATGTTGGCCGTGCACACCACCAGGTTGTTCAGGGTCTGGAAGTACTGCAGCTCCTGTGTCTTCTTCACAAACAGCTGCAGCAGAACTTTGAACTCGCACAGGACGTGGTGCTCAAAAGTCCTTTTGGTGTCTGGGTTCCCCGTGGAGAACATGCGCACGGTGGACTGAGCCACCCTGCGGTGCACCTTCCACCAGTCCGTGATGGTGCCGAACGCCAGGCTGTCCCCGTTGGAGATGTACTGGAAGGAGGTGAAGTCCGGTCTTCCAGCAAAGTCGAGTCCCTGCTTCACCAGCGCCTGCCTGATAGAGTCCCCGTTCAGCACCACCACCGCGCGAGAACCCAGTTTGATCTGGAACACGTTGCCGTATTTCTCCGCCATGCGCGCAAAGTACAGGTGCGGAGCTTTGCCGAGCTGCGGAGCGTTCCCGATGACCGGCCAGGCGAAAGGGCCGGGGGGGGCAGGGGCCGAGCTCTGCCGGAGCCAGCGCCACAGGTGGAGGGAGAACAGCAGGGTTACACACCCCACCAGCAGGGCTCGTGCATTCGCCGGGTTAATCTCCTCCAAAGTAAAATCCATTTTTGGGATCCTGCAGGACAATATGATAAAAGCACATTTATTTAACAATTGAAATAGGATGGGCCAATTTATACGTAAACAAATATGACATTCTTCTGAATCAGGAGGTGATGAAATACCTGCTTATATCCTTGGTTCATCGAACACAATCGGATGTTTTCAACCTTGGAATATTTTCTAATTATACTGAAAAAAATCCAAAGCACAGACTGAGTCTGCAGCACATCCACGGTGTGTGGGAGAGTGTGTGTCAGCAGCCTGCCCATGCTGTGAAGCCCTGCCGCACAGTGAAGTCATTTATCCGCTAACAGCGCAGCATCATGGCCCCTCCGTGCTTTGTTACTGTGGGCAGGTTTGTTGCAAAGGGTGTCACCCCAACCTCCTCCCATCACCTCCTCCTCCACCCCCCCACCTCTCTCTCTCTCTCTCTCTCTCTCTCTCTCTCTCTCTCTCTCTCTTCCTCTCTCTCTCCCTCTCTCTCCTCTCTTCTCTCTCTCTCTCTCTCTCTCTCCCTCTCTCTCTCCCTCTCTCTCAATTCAATTCAAAGGGGCTTTATTGGCATGAAAGTTAAATTAAACAATGTTTTCATTGCATCAAAATATAAAATAATTAACAACATTAACAAACATTTCAAATGTTTACATATTATTGACGATATATATATACAGTGATACAATTACATTTCAACACGTGTGTGTGTGCGTGTGTGAGTGTGTGTGTGTGTGTGTGTGTGTGTGTGTGTGTGTGTGTGTCTCATTCACTGTCCCTCAGGTTGTGGCATGTGTATACATATTGGGCAGCAAGATGTGCCTTGTCTGCCGAAGTGCCCTTGAGCAAGGCACCGAATGCTCACTGGCGCCGGCTAGACTGGCTGCCTCTGCTCTGACCTCTCAACTGCATGTGCATAACTGTGTGTGTATTTGTATATGTATGTGCATGATGTAACAAGTGTGTACTGTGTGTACTGTGCACCTGTATAAAAAACGCTGAGTGGAAACTGAATTTCCCCCTCGGGGGATTAATAAAGGTCCATTTCTTCTTCTTCTTCTTCTTCTTCTTCTTCTTCTTCTTCTTCTTCTTCTTCTTCGAGTATTTTCAGTCTTGAGAGGTCATCAACCTCGTTGAAATCTGGGATTACAGAGTTCAACTTGTTACAGTAAATGTTCCTTATTTCGTTGAATGTTTCACACTTTAGGAGGAAGTGCATCTCTGTGTCAGTTTCACATATTCTGTTTTCTCTTGGTTTCTCTCTCTCTCCGTCCCCCTCCCTCGTCCCTTTTTTGTCTGACTGTGAACATCATTGTTTAAAGTAGGCTAGAAAGTTAACTGAAGGGATTCACTGCATATTATTATTGTATATTGACATATTCAAGCGATTAAATAGCAATATTATTATTATTCCCTATTATTTTTAGTATTATTATTGTTGTGGTTGTTTTTGGAAGGGATTGCAATTATTGGTGGTTGTGCTGCATCACTTATGACATCATTTATTTGTTTTAAGAATTTTAAAACACACGTAGGCTATATTCATATTTCTGTGTTGTAATTGATATTTTTGTTGTTGTTGTTATAATGTATATCATTATATTATTATTATTATTATTATTATTATACACAAATATTCTTCTTATTGCTGTTGTTGTTGTTGTTGTTGTTTAAGGGAATAACAATGTAACACCTTTTAAACAGACATGTATAATATACTTTTATATATTGTTGTCATACAATTATTATCATATTTATTATAATAAAGTAAGAATGTCCAATTTGTGGACTGGAACTATGAACAGTTAAATCTCCTTGTTATTGTTTTTATCCTCATTAGTACTTGCTCTTGGAGGTCCTTTGTATTGGTGGTATACATCACATGTGCAGTATATTAGTTATAATACTTTGTACACAGACATGTATACTAACAATGATGGTTGCTGATATGATTTATAAAGCGTTATCTCAAAATGCAGAGTGCCGTGCTGTGATTCTGCAGAGAGCTGCAGTCAGGGGGAAGGTGCGCCGCAGCCCGAGGCGCATCGCACCAACACAAGTCAGAGGAGTTCAAACTGTTTCAGATAAATGATACACCTCCAACCAACATAAACATCCACTTATTACTTCTGTTTGACGCAAGTCTGACGTTTTTCCGCAGCGCAATTTCGCCTCATTCAAGAGAGCCAATTATAAAGTAGTTACATATTATCTTTCTATACACGTTTTCGCATTTTTACATTTCATATACACACAAGCCTCATTGTGCCTCTGATCTATTGTGTTGCTCCAAATGTGTGACGACAAATATAGCCTGGATAAATAAAGGACTAATCTTCTTTAAAATGAAAGAAAACAGTAACCCGCATCACTCTTTCTCTCATATTAAGCAATTTGCTGATAGTGTTAATATTGAATGAATAATTGAGGGTGCGCTTTCCCATCATGCCACCAGGAGGAGGCGAACCCCGCGTGCTCACTCATTCATTCCCCGGTAATTAATATATTGTAAACATCAAACACATCTCAATTAATCAATTGTCAATCTGTAAAACACTGTTTTACGTTGTTTTAAAAAAAATGGACTTGCATAGCTCAATCATCCATACATTTGTAGAACTAAAAACTAAATTACAAGCTTTTTGGTTAATATACAAAAATAATGATGGTTACAATAAATTGTATTTTGATCTGTATTTGTATGACGTTTTTTTTCTCTTTCTCTAATTTTCTGCAATTGTTTTGGCCCCGCGTGGCATCGTTAATGTATTACAATGAAACGTGATTTTATTGTTTATTTTTAATCGGTATTATTATAAAGTTTTTTTGTTATTTCGCTATAATAATTGAGGTCTTGGGACAAAAGCGAAACGATATACTTTGCTTACTCACAGGAGGGCTGTTTTCTTTTTTATAAGCTTTGCTTTCTGCTATCCCTCTCCAACTAACTTCGTTTTCTCGTTCTTTCGGTGTAGGTTATTAACATTGCATTAATTGAATTAGAAAAATAATAATAAAAAAGCGTCCCAAAAAAAGAATGAATTAATGAATAAAGTCCTCTCCTCTCTCTGCTGTATCAGGGTTCAGAGCTGTGTCGTCATTTAAGAACCCGTGCATTAGCGTTTCTCTGCTTTCCCCTGTTTGTCTTGGATTCCCTCCCGGGTCCCTGGCTCCCCCCTGCTCTGGCTTCCCCCCTGCTCTGGCCTCCCTCAGGTCTGGATGTGATTCGGGGCTCCAGGTTCAGCACCGCGGACAGCGGCTCACAGAGTCCCGGAGATCTGCTCTGACCCTCAGCCTCTCTGAGCTGCAGCTGCACACTCTGTCTGAACACACTGCAGCAATGGAGCTGTTCATAACGTGGATTTTTTTAAAACATATATATATAGGCTATGCCGTTAATAAATCTGCTATATATACCTGGCTGCTACATCTTCAGAACTGTTACAGGATGTGTATTTTGTATTTTTTTTATTTTTTATTATCTTGCATGCTTCTTAGTTAACATTAAGTTGTCTTCTCTTCGTTAACAAATGTAAATTTCCCCTCTGGGACGAAAAAAGGTATTCTGATTCTGATTCTGATAACTATAAGAGAAAACACATTTAAATAAGATGTTTAAAGTGTATAATGTAAGACACCAGAACAATGTGACCTTAAAAAGAAGAAATCAAGATATTTAGCTTCAGAAAAGTGTCCTCTGCTCTGAGACTTTATTTATAGTAAAGCTGGCTTTCATTCAGCATATTCAGGCAGCAGCCTATACACCAACACTGAAACACATGAGCACATACTACAGTTTAAAAAAGCAGAAATAAAATCTGGGCAGACAGAAAATGCTCCGTTTTAGTTTAATACACCCAGTTAAGCTCACACACACTATTGTATGAACATACAGGATCACCTGCTGAATTAAGAAAGAACAAATGAAGCAAAGAAAGTGAAAACCATAAAGCAGATTTAGGCAGTAGGCGTATAGATTCACTCTTAAAGTATTAGCCAACAGAACAGTACAGCTGACAGAGAAGAGACAACATCTGATCCTTTACAACAAACACTAGATGCTCTTTCTAGGGTTTTTAGTACACTGTAATCCTGCTAGTAATTCCCAATGTTTTAAATAGTAACAGCAATCTGATTACATATTTTCTTCATGTAACTGCAAGGGAATGACACTATAATAATGAAGTTTTAGCTTATTAAAATCATAAATCAGAATGTAAATATATAACGGCTCGCAGACTCACTGACCTGTGGGGTCCTCACTGACCTGGGGGTCCTCCTCTGGATGAACCTGAGAGCTGTATTCCCATGAGGCTGGAGAACAGCTACTGAATGAACCACTGATCCCAGGATCCAGCTATTAGACCAATAGCTGGAAGTGATGTATACATGGTGTGTGTGTGTGTGTGTGTGTGTGTGTGTGTGTGTGTGTGTGTGTGTGTGTGTGTGTGTGTGTGTGTGTGTGTGTGTGTGTGTGTGTGTGTGTGTGTGTGTGTGTGTGTGTGTGTGTGTGTGTGTGTGTGTGTGTGTGTGTGTGTGTGTAGTAGTAGTTAAGTTAAGTTTGTGTGTGTGTGTGTGTGTGTGTGTGTGTGTGTGTGTGTGTGTGTGTGTGTGTGTGTGTGTGTGTGTGTGTGTGTGTGTGTGTGTGTGTGTGTGTGTGTGTGTGTGTGTGTGTGTGTGTGTGTGTGTGTGTGTGTGTGTGTGTGTGTGTGTGTGTGTGTGTGTGTGTGTGTGTGTGTGTGTGTGTGTGTGTGTGTGTGTGTGTGTGTGTGTGTGTGTGTGTGTGTGTGTGTGTGTGTGTGTGTGTGTGTGTGTGTGTGTGTGTTCTGAATGCACTTCAAATTATCACTTTTCTCTTGATTTCCCTTTGATATTTTGTTTAGGTACAGTGTTACTTGCAGCTAATTGATTGATTGTTTTAAGGGTATTCTGTGTTGAAATGGTGCAAATATTTTTAATACATATCTAATATATTTCTAATACATTGCTCTTGTGTTGTTCTTTCACATAACTAAGACTATAGAAGTGTAAAAAATAGGCTAAGTCAGATTATTCCAAGGGACATACATGTCAAGTCAAGTCAATTTTTATTTATATAGCCCAAAATCACAAATCAGAATGAGGGGGTCCTTGGTGTATTCTCTATCTTGTAAGGGGTCCTTGGCTGAAAAACAATTGAGAACCTCTGGCCTATGCCAGTAACACAAATACTACAAATCCACATAACAAACAATCAAAAATGAAAAAGGGTCGCCACTTATTATTATTTTAAGAAAAAAACAAAAAGTAAAGAAAATAAAAACTGGCTGGCGCCTCCTAGCAGCGCCGCTCATATTTCAGCAGCGGCGCTGCGCCGCCACTATTTGTATATAGGGGAAACACTGGAATCCAGAGAACATCATTTAAACAACACTTCGACATTGACAAAGTAAATATATCCCTATTGGCTAAGAGGCTTCTTTAGTTTCTATTACATTAATTCAATTCACAGCAGAATGAATTGTCTTTTGAGGACATTACTTACAGATGACACTTTATCCAGGAGGGCCTTCTTGACCAGGAAGACTGCAGCTCTCGTCATGTTTCTCAGATCCTCCTTGGGGGTGGTGGGTGATAGCTCCGTTAGCTTCTTGTACACAGCCAGGAGAGCATCCTCTCTGTAGCACCAGGTTCTGGAATATGCCCCTGCCACCTGGAAAAGCAAAGAGGTGGCGAAAAGATATCACAAATGTCAGTTATGTGGGTAGATGTGGATAAAAATGTGTGTAATTCTGTGTACCGTATAGAAATGGTTTAATACAAGCCTGTTTCTTCTAATTGCCAAATCAACAAAAGTTTTCTTTTTTAAATTCCATAAAGCTGTGCTAAATCTTTTATGTAGGAGTAGGTGGTAATATGCTTTGATTGCATTCTAGAGACATGCTGCTGCCTGGACTCTGCAGGATGATCAAGTGTGGGATGGAATCCTTTAGGTTATCAAGTGGGCGCACTCTTTCCTCGATGTTTCACTGATAGGCCCACGACACCTCAAGAGGGTTCAGCAGTAAATCCCAGCGTCCCAGGCTCACCCCCTAAATGCCATCTACTCACTTGAGGGCCATGGTGGATTCATTTATGTTCCTCCAGAGCCACTGACTGCCTTTTTCGGCAGTTCTCAAGAGGCTTTCCTTTGGGTCGTGGGTCGTGGCTCTTACTCCGATTAGCCTCGTCATAGATGTTGCTACAAACCCTCTGCAGCCTACCTCATCTGAGCCTTTGCTTCCCAGCCACGTAATCGCCCATCATCTGCTAGCTCAGCGTACCTCAGCTTTTTGCCTTCCTAGGGCTAATCACTATTTCATATATTATCAATGGATAAAATTACTATAATTGTGAAATATGTCGCAACTCAACCTAAGTCTTTATTCCAGCGTCTACAGGCAAAGGTTTCAGCAATAAAAACATCTCTGATGAATCCAACTTTACAATACCTGCGCATGACGGCACGGAATACAAGACGATGTTAGAAACTAGCTGAAAACTGAGCTGACCATCTTGCAGCTACAGAACTT